CACCAGTCCCTTTGGCTTTCCCATTTCAACTATGGGTCCTTCACTGACCTTTGGGTGAAGTGGGAGCCAGAGGGCTCAGTGATCCTGTGCCCACCCACCCCCACAGTGCTGGTATTATGTAGGTGTGAGAGATTCAAACTCATGTCCTCTGCTTGCACACTATGTGTTCTTTCCCAGTGAGCCATTTCTCTAGCCCACGAGGTCTCTTAAGGAGTTTTTAGGGAAATCTAGACACCAGAGAAGATGGTAAAGTAATGGAATCCTCTGGCCCCACATCCACAGTGATCATTAAACACACTCAGCTGCTAGCCAGACTAACACGGAACCCACACTAAAGACTTCATCCCCTATTACCTCAACCAACATATCTTTCTTTCAGCAAGATTTACATTGGAAAACTCCAGAGGCAAAAACATCGAAGAGAAAACTTGAGCATCTAAGTGAGGAAGGCAGAGGCTCTGGAATGATCAGACTGGGAATCCAAATAAAGATTGTAATGGCTAGAGACTCTAGGGCGGTGGTCCTCAGTCTTCCTGATGCTGTGACCCTTTAATGCAGCTCCTCCAACCATAAAATTATTTTAGTTGCTACTTCATAACTGTAATTTTGCTACTGCTATGAATCGTAGTGTAAATATCCATGTTTTCTGATGGTCTCAGGAGACCCCTGTGAAAGGGTTGTTGAACCACCAAAGGGGTTTCAAACCACAGTTGAGAACCACTGCTCTAGTGGAAGAAGTGGTCGGTATTTGAGAGGAGATGGGAAATAGAAATACAGATATAGGAAATATTAGAAAGGATAAAGAGGAAAGACTAGGGAGAAAGCTCATGACAGAATAAAGAATACTTCAGAATGAACACAGCTAAAGAGTCTGCGGCAAGCCTAAGGGTAATTCAGTAGGTGGTAACAAAACTGGAAAGAGCTAAAAGGAAAAGCAAAACATTTAAGAATGGTGGACGATCACAAAAAGAGCCAACACCTGGGCCGTTGGAACAGGGGAGGGAGAAGAAGGGGAAAGGGCCGAGGAGACACAGCATCTGCCAATCCTGATATCACTGACATCAAAGCCCAGCTGCAGGAGCCTCGGTGTGGTACTCTTTGGGTCAACATGACTGAATCAGAATGCACAAATTCAGGGAAGGAGGGTTTTGTTTTGGCTTCCGGCTTTATAGCGGGTGAAGTCTGGTCTTCACGTGGCTCACACAGGAAGCAGAGACTGGAGTAATTTTTGAAGAGTTGCCCACCAGAAACCTGGTTTCATCAGTCAGGCCCCATGTCCTCAAGGCTCAGAATCTGTACGATAGTGACCCCATCGGGGAAAAGGTGTTCAAATCGTTAGCCCATGGGAGGGCATTTCAGATTCAAACTACAGCAGCAAGAAGTACTCAGAACACCAAGGAGAAGTACTCAGAAGTCCGCTTCATGACATCACATTCAGAATACAGGGAAGAGGGAAAACATGCAAAGGGAGCCAGAGGCAAGCAAACCCACAAGCTTACTCAATGGACAAAAAGAATGACAGCTACATTGAATTTCTCATTAACAGCGTGCGGGCAAAACTCCAGGTAGAACTCTGACCCCCACTCTCTGCAGAGACACCGGCTCAGAGACAAGACATGGGCAAAAGGCACGGAGTTTCTGAAATCTCAGAAACCAGTCACGCAACTGCAGTGCCCAAGGTGAGCTTAAGCACTACAAAGCTACGTGGGAAACTTAGGCATCATTTCACTTTTCCGGAGGGTCCCCTCTCCCTAGCGTGTGGACGGTAGCTCAGTGTGCTTTATTCTGGCTTTCCATAAGGATTCCCAGATTTCCATAAGGTGACCCTGTCTGTCTTGTCCACTCAGGCCACTGTTGTCTACTTGTTAGAGTTCTGCTGTGGGACGGGGGTGGGTGGGGGTGGGTGTGGGTGTGAGGGCAGAGGGATCAGGGAGAGGGAGGCTGGCAGGGAGAACTGAGAGCAAAGCAGTGGGAGCAGAGAATGCTCAGCACTAAGGAGGCCAATTCATCTTGGAGCAAATGAGAGAGGGAGCCTGGTTCAGTCTTCCTTGGGGAATAGAAGGAGGAGACTGCATTCTGATACTGTTCATTCACCTTTTCTTTTCTTTTTTGGTCTCTAAGGTTTCTTCTGATAATAAATTCAGTATAATGCAAACTCCTAACCAGAATGCATCTGGCATTCTGACTTGCAGGGGCTCTCAAAGGACTGGCATACATCGTCATCTTACTTGGCCTTATTTGGATGCCTTTAGCAAGAGAAGAACCTGCAGAGCCACACAGAGACACCAGAGGGCAGCAGAGACTCCGAGCTGAAAAAGAAACCAACAGACCCCTGGTTGAGACACAAACTGCACAAGCCAGAGAAACTGAGATGTCACCCTAAAGGGCTTCAAGGGACCCGAGAATGGCCCCTGTGCTGGCCTGAAAAGATTCTCAGTTAGTACAAGAGTGTTGAAGAGAACTCACAGCCAGAACTTTCTATAGTCACTTCCGTGGCTACGGAAAAAGCAACAGCTAACACGATGACAATCTAGCTCCTTGTCTAACAGACAGCCACACGCTTTTCTGAAACACGCGAGTCTGTGTGTCTCCAGGTGTGTGCAGGTCCCTCGAAGGCCAGAAGAGGGTGTCATGTGCTTTAAAGCTTGAGTTATAGGTGGGTGTGAGCCGCTGACATGGGTCCTCTGGGAGATCAGCTCTCTTAACCCCAGGACCAGGTCTCCAACCCAAGAAAAGTGGTTTTTAAGAACAGCTACCCATAACCTGTAGAAACTACAGAGAAAAGGGACGGCTTTTTCAGCCTTTAACAACTAGCTGTTAGTGTGCAACCCTCAATGTCAGCTGGTGAATTACTCAGTAGAGAACGCGGGCACCCAGAAACACTGTGAGGTTCATGCCTGAGTTTCTCTTTCCCCAACTACTCGGAATTATGATTAAGCTACTTACAAGCATCCTATTACAGTCAGAAGGCAGATGCAAGCTGAATTTCTTGTGTCTATTATTGTAATGGTTGAGAATCTGTAATCTCCCCCCCCCCCAAAAAAAAACAACAACAACAACTCATTGACGTAAGCATGACACCAGTGAGGAGTGGAAAATTCCACGCAGGCCTTGTGTGACAGACACAGCACATGAGTACCTTCAGACTGAGCGTAGAAACTGTGGACGAAACACATGCATTTTCTGTTTAGATGGGGGCGCCATCCCTGGTTTTTGCATTATGTATATGCAAATATTCCCCTTAGCTCCCCTGACTTAAAACATTGATGGGTGCAAGCGTGTTGAGTAGAGGAGACTTGTCTGTCCTGTGTGCTGGGTCATTACCTCCTGTGGCCCCACCCTCCCCACAGTTATTTCCAATCTTACTTCCTTACCGTCTTCTGACACTCAAAGGTAGGATGTACTATTAAGCTTCAAGCCAGTAGTGATGCTAATAACACCCGACGAGTGTGTCTTTCCCTCCAACCATGGCTTTCCTGCTGCCAAGGCACGCAGGCTAAATATGGGTATTTACTGGATACTCAGGCCTTTTCTCCAAAGTTTATGTCGACTGTTGTTTAGCACAGGTAAGCCACTCCTGTCACCTCCATCTTACAGACGCGTGAGCTGAGGGCCTGGGAGGTGAAGATCGTGGCCTTGTCAGGATGGAAGGAAGCCACCCTGGAGTCTGGCTTGAAGGACCCAGCCGCTCTTTGTGTATTCAGGTCCTGTCTGCCTAAAGAGGGAGGTTGAGGGCTTTCCCCAACTCCAAACCACGGAGTCCCTAGAGCCTGTGTCCCTTGTAAAACAGGCAGGTGACCAGATTCAACCCCACCATGGCCTTTGCTCCCTTGCTTATGGTAAACAGGGGTGATTTTTTTCTCATATGCAAAGCAGAAAAATGTTAACTTCCCGTTGCTTGCTTTGAGATGGAAAGTATCAGAAGCTAATGACTGAGATCAAGCCTGGGCTACACAGCAAATCACCCACAACCACCACCACCCCAAAAGGGAAAGAAAAGAAAATACCAACACAGCAGTAGTGGTTTAAAAAACAAAAACAAAAACAAAAATGGCCTCCAAACGCAGTGGCACTATTTGGAGGGGTGGCCTTGTTGGAGTAGGTGTGGTCTTGTTGGAGGAAGTGTGTCACTGAGTGAGGTGGGCTCCGAGGTCTCTTACATGCTCAAGCTATTGCCCAGTGAAGGAGACCACTTCCTGTTGCCTGTTAGCTGTGGAACTCTCAGCTACTCCTCCAGCACCGTGTCTCTGCACACTGCTGATGGCCTGAACCTCTGGACTGTGAATGAGCTGCCACAATGAAATACTTTCCTTGCTAAGAGTTGCCGGGTCGTGGTTTCCCTTCACAGCAATAGAAACACTAACTGAGACAGCGGCCCACTTGAGACATGTTACAAACACGCCCCCCATGCACAGCCCCGCACTGAAGGCAAGGCTCTCTCAAACCACTTAAGGATGCGGAAGCTCTTTCTGAAGCTCCTCTTCCTCAATGCCTAACTTCTCTGAACTCGAAAATGGCGTGTTGAGTGATTTCCTTCCTTGTCAGGTAAAAACTAGAAAATATCGATTTGGTTTGGCACGTTATTGGGAATAATTTCAGTGGAGTAGTGAGAAACAGATGGAGACTCCGGACCAAAGAACTGCACGAGAGGGAACCTCTGCTTCCGGTTTGTAAGAGAGGGAGGAAAAAATAGCTCTGCGCCACCTGGAAGCTGAAGAAACAGATCGGAGGCCGGA